AAATCGGCTACATCAATCTAACATATTTTCATTTAATTCTAATAAATTCATATCATACTTTATACAATATGCCGAAAGATTTGAGCGATATAACTGCAAAAATGAAGCAAAGGTGGACATGTAAATAGATAAGAGCAATGAATGCATCGTGCTATTGATATTTTTCGTAGTTCTCTAAGCTTTTACATTTAAATCAGTTTTTATAACATAACTTCTTATATTTTATCTTTTATTGCACATTATTATTCCACCACCAACTATTTTTATTTATAAAAACTTTTTCTTTTGATTCTTCTAGCACATCTTTTGCTACTTGTTTAATAGTGTTTGTTACTTTATCCCTCATAACTTTTGCTTCTATGTTCTCTTTTGATTCTCCAAGCATTGTCCCACACTGGTACTAAAAGGCTTTGCTTTGATATGAGCAAATTTTGAGTTAATATTTATGATTATGTATAATCTCTGGGTTGTAAGGTGAGTTTGTAGCACTTAGGATGTTGGCCATTTAGTATTGCAAACAGTATGTAAATGTAATTAGCATAACCGAACTTCGCAGTTAATTTAAATAATGATGAATGGGTGTAACTCAGCTGAGCCGGCTCCTGTTCGAGCTCAACTTAATAAATAGCTAGCACGCTAAAGAAGATTAGCTAACGAGCCAAATTTGTGTTCCTGCTTGAGTCGTTAGCTAATGAATCTAGTCGATTAGAAAAGAAGTTAAAAAAAATATACATAAAATATATTACAAATTAGAAATATAAATATAAATCATTAAAAATATTTTATATTTATATTTAATTTTTTTTACATCACATAATTATTTATTAATATATTGATATAGATGGGGATGTTATCAGTAGAATTCAAGTTTGTTGGTTGAAGAGGATGAATGCATCGGGCCTATTATCTGATAGATAAGTACCACTTAAACTGAAAGGAAATTTTTATAAGATGGTTGTGAGGCCTACAATGCTCTATGACGCAGAATGTTGGCCTTTAAAAGAGAAGCATAAAACAAAGTTAAATGTTGTCGAGATAAGAAAACTTTGGTGGATGAGTGGCTTTATATTTAGAGACAAAATGCAAAATGATTATATCTGTGATAGCCCACTGGCGGACAAAATTAGATAGTCATCTTAGATGTTTTGGTCACATTAAATGTCGACCGTCTGATAATCCGATTAGGAGAGTAGATGTTATAGATTCTACTTAAGTTAAGAACATCAAAGTTACACCTAGAAAGACTTGAGCATATTGTATAAAAAATGATCTTAATTTTTATTATTATGCTACAATTGTTCAATTTTTCATTATTTTTTTTAATAATAAATGAGTCTACTTGTGGGTCTATTCAAACTCATAGACTTTGAATTCCAACTTAATTAAGCAAGTTCAAGTTTGGGGTGGTCAGACATTTAGCACAGGCTCCTAAATTTTAATGCATCATTTCTAATACCTTCCTTTGTGGGCAAGTTCTAAATCACCATTATCTAATTAAAACCTCATTGTTTGTCAACCTTCAAGCAATAGAGGCAGGCAGTCTACAAAATGTGGAAAATAAGACAGAAGCTCTCCCTTTCCCATGAGAGATCTCGCCTTCTCCTATGTTACTTTGAAGCCTTGCTAACCGTTTGAAGCCAATTCCCTTCTCTTCACTCTTCTCTTTCCTTCCACAAGCTAATTGGATCATTTATGTGATAATCACATGACTTTTCAACCGTCTATTTTATTGTTATTATTATTATTATTTTCTTTGACGTATTCAAATTCCAGAGTCGGTTAACGACTCTGGAATTTGAATTTTCTCTATACTAGTAATAAAATTTAAATATTTTCTCTTATATAGTTTAAGTAATTTTGTAATTTTACCCCCTCAATAAAATATTTTTTTCACAAAAGTTAAAAAAAACTAAACATTTATTGATTTTGCTCGTCCTAATAAATAAAGTTGTTTACACCCCTATTTGTAGTAATTAAACTCATGAATTCCAACTATTTTTTTTTTTTAAATTTATGATTGATATTAATAAGAATTTTAAAACAAGCCAGCGCAAGCCTGTAAATTGAGTCTAGAATGGATCAAATTTGGCCCTCGAGTCATTTAACTAAACCAATTTGAGGTAGCCTTACTTAATTTCAACCTAAAAGAGAGAGATGAAAGGGAAATTAGTAGATTGTCTAAGCTTGCTATGTCAATTTTCACCCAACACAAATCATTCAAATTGTGTGCCTCATCATTGACCATTTCATATAAAATTCAATTTAGTTTTTCTTCATTATACATCTCATCACTAACCCATGAATATTTTTTTCCATATTGAATATTATTCGTAAAATTTAATTGCATGAAAACCTAACCCTAGAAGATTGAAATTTCAAAAAAGGTGAGTGTTTTTTTGTTATTTCAGCGGGTTTTTTCTATAAGAATTTAACTATATTGAATCATATGAGAGAGGCTTATATATTTTCCACATGAGATACTCGGTTTTCTACGTCTAAAGTGGCTTTATATATTGTAAATGGGAGAGAAAGAGAAAGTTTAAGTTATTAGGTGCTAGATAAATAAATACATAAGAATACAGTGGTATGTATGTATACATCAAAAATATGTATGCATGAATCTCGAGAAAATTCAATGAGTCCTACTAATTGTATATTGGTAATCAAAAGACGGAATTACCAAGCATTGTTTCCTTTGATAAGAACTCCGAGCAAACTGAAATGAAGCACAATAGAACGAAGAGATATGAACACAATCCGAGGAATAGCCAATCATGACCAAATCCCTCAGCCAATTCTGGAATTCCTCATAAAATGGCCAAAGGTCATCAGATGCTTCTATTCAAGCAATTATGAATACGAAAAAGTGCTAAAATCGGTTATGAAAATGAATAAGTGTCAAAGTTAGTTAAGAAAACAAAAAGAAGCCATAAAACCTTGTAAGTTCTGTCTTAAAACAAGAACAAATATGCAAATTTTATACTTGGTAGCCCCGAAATCTAGAGTAAAGAACTATTGACTGATTTTATCCAAACTCTTGTGTAACTGTGCACTTTCTAGTTCTCTTGTTTTCTTTCTATTTCTTTCCTCCGTCCCACGCTCTATATCTTAGGTGTGATTCACATGACACATATGAATTCAACAATATACATGTAAATGTTCCAAATATTTTACTCATAATATAACGTTTAAGAAGGATATTGTCCAAAGTTCTAAAAAGAAATTAAAAAAAATCAAATGCATATAATAATGAAGCAAGTTATCTTAATATCTATTGATTGACTTCAATTAAGAAGTTTTAGACTTAAATTCTTTTATGTGTAATATACACATATTTATGATTAAATTCACTCAAATATCCAGAAAATATATTATAACATTAGAAAATATATATATATTGTTTATGCGTAACCCTTGGACGGCTACTTATAGACGAAGTTGCCCACACAAGGCAGTCTGTTACCTTCCTTTTAATTTGGTAAACATTCAAAGAAAATTCAAACTTTTCAAGGGTTATTTCCACAAACAAGCAAATGTTCTCCCTCTTTATGCCTGAAAGACCGATTAAGTTCAATTGAGGCATACAAACTTTTTTGAAGGCCGCCAGCCGTTGATTAGTCAGTCATTCGGTTACTTCACCTTCAGCTCTTAATTTGCTTTTGAGTTTTTTATTTATTTGTTTGGTTAGAGATGATGACAAGTTATGAACTAGTTTAATGTGATTAAATGAATACTAGCAAATGTTCTATATATAATTAATAGAATTTTTTTTAGATTAATATAAATATATAATAATTAAATAAAATGAAGACTAATTCAATTTTAAAACAAATCTAAAAACAAATTATAATGCTCCTTCTGATCAATATATTTCTTCGACTTTGTTTATATAGAAAGTTTCTAATTGAAAACAACTGAAATCATGATTCCACGTATCCCATCTTCTTTAAAAGTTTTGTTTAAATTGCCTTTTAAGTATACGTTAATCTTTGAATTTTCAAAACAGAAATCACAACGACTAGTCTTTGTCTGCTCCAACAAAAGTAAAGACCAAAAAAAAGGCAGGGCTTCCATTAATTACTCAGAATATTTAACTGACGACTTGCTACTAGTCTTCAACTAAGATTTGCACGTTATCTCTAGCAATATATAAAACATTAATTGGTATATATTTTAAATTTGTGAAATTTGCATTAATACCGCAGAATTTTTATTTATTTACATATAAACATTTGAAATTTTTGTGCGCTTATTGTTTAGGTAGTAGGGATGTAAGTGAGTTAAGCTGACTCGTGAGCCAGCTCGAGCTTAGCTTGTTAGCTCAATGAGCTCAGTTTACAAGCCACTTATTGAGCCGAGCTCAAACTAGCCCCGACTCGACTTGTTAGCTTGTGAGCCAGCTCGTTTGTTAAAATATTAAAATAAAATCTGCTCAAAATATGTTAAATTTCAAAATTTTATCTGTACATTATTAAAATATTTAAAAAACAATAATAGTTTGTATTTAATATGAAGTGATTTTTTATTACTTTTATCCTAATTACTTATTCTATTTATCATTTTATTATAATACAATCTTAAATTAATATTATTTTCTCTCTTTTATATCAAATAAGTTGGCCCGTGACCTGACTCAAACTCGTAGTCCTAAGCTTGAGTTTGGGCTCGAACCCAAAAAATCTAACCAAGCACAAGTTGAAGCTCAAGCTAACGCTTATCTTTCCCAGAATAATAATAAACAAAAAATAAAAAATAAATATAAAATAGAACATTTGAAATTTGAGATTTACATTTATGCTCCTCTGGTGTCATATATATAAGAAATGTGTGGTATGTTTGTAAATGACCAAAATTTTAATTTCTTAAAAATTTTCTAGAGAATCAAACTTTTGCAAGCAAGTTTTGAATTTTCTTCCACTAAAAATTCACCATATTCATCCCATCCTCCCCTATAAAAGAGACCCAACTCTCCCTCTCTTTGTATTCTATCGTCTATAAAAAAATAGCTATAATTTAGAAGCAAAAAAAAAATAATGGAGAAACACTTTGTTCTTGCTCTCGCCATTGTTCTTTGCCACTTTGCTCTCTCTTCCGCCATTGATGGAACTGCAACTTACTACACCCCGCCTTACACCCGTGAGCTCTAAGCCTCTATAACTAATTATTTCCCCTTGTTTACATATAGTTTTAGATTATAATTATGAATTATATTTATACATATTATGTATTTATATATGCAGCATCTTCATGTTTCGGGTATGATAATAAGGGTACCTTGATTGCTGCGGCAAGCGACCAAATATGGGATAATCGTGCGGCGTGCGGACGAAATTATAAGGTGACATGTACAGGTGCTACCAATCAAGGTGTGCCACACCCATGCACGGGAGCGAGCGTTGTGGTTCAAATTGTTGATTACTGTCCAGCTGGTTGTCGAGGCACCATTGATCTCTCTCAAGAAGCGTTCTCGACTATAGCAGATTTAAATGCCGGCAAAATTGAAATTGATTATGTTCAGTAAGTAAATATTTTTTTAAAATATTTACCTATATAAACCGATGAGGAACCAACCTGTTTTTTTTAGGAGAAAATAATGCATCAGGACTCTACATGTATAGTTATCTGCGGAGTCCAATGAAATCACGCAACGTGATGGCGGCAGAAAAAAAAATATGTCTGATAACACAATGAAATATTTCTCACGTGTTATTCAGGTGTTATTGTGTGTTATGCAAGTGTTATTGATGTTTTATTGTTATTATAGCATAAAAAATATTCTCAAAACACAATAACACTTGAATAACACACAATAACATCTGAATAACACAAAATAACACGAGGGGAATATTCCTTGTGCTAAAACGAATTTTTTTTATTTTTTTTTTTTTTTTTTTATCACTTTCAGATGGCTTGATTTCATTGGACTCCGTACGAGTCCTGATGTAATATTTTTTTTTTCTTTTTGGAGAGGTGGAGGGGGGGCCCTAGACCTAATATGAGAAGATTTAGAGCAAGAAAGAGTCAGAAAATGCAAAACTGATATTTTAGGAGGGACTAAAGTCCAAATTATACATGCATATGAGTAAAAATATAAATTTGAGGGGATCTACCCAAGACCGCGTTTGTGCATAAACCCCTATTCTTTTTAGTAAAATATAAGAAAAATTAGATGAGTTGAATTTGTATTGAGATGAATATAATTAATAAATAATTATATTGTACTAATCTTAAACAAAACATTAAATTTAAAGTCCATGCACCCAGATTGAAATTTTGGGAAGGATACCATAAATTATTTATTTTTAAAAATATAGGGCATAATATAATTATTGTAAATAAGTGCTCTGAGTTTCTGTAGCCGTAGTTGTGGAATTTAATCAAAATATCTTGAATTATGATTTTTTCATATTTATTTACCGTTCTCATTGTCTCTCTAAAAAAAAAGAAATTAATATATTTCTGCTTGCTTATCTTTATGATTTTCAGGGTGTAAAGATGGCCGGTGGCTGAAGGCATTAATGGTGCTTTTTTTATATCAAAATTAGTGTTGAAGAAGAGAAGAATTACCTGTTCACTTATGTGCCCTTAAATAATATTGTTGCTGTGTAACTTCGACTGTGCTTACATGACCACAATTGTCTTTCCATCAATAAATTTACAGTTTTCATTTTTCAATGCGGGTTTTTAATTTATAATAAAAATTATTATTATTATTATTATATAATATCGAGCTTTTTTTTGGAAAAATTAGTCCATGCGGATTGGACACCGCATGCATCATGCGTGCGTGCGGTGTCCGATCCTGACAGTAAATCTGGTGATTTACGGTCATGATGTATTTCGGTGGGTCCATCTAAATTTTTTTTTTATATATATAAAAAAAAACTGAAATAATCCTGACCGTAGATCACTGTGATCTACGGCCAGGATCGAACACATGCAGAGATGCATGCGATATGCTAACCGTAGGGAAGATATGCATACAGACCCCTCAATGCCTATGTATTTACATCTATAGCTCCTAAACTTTAATGTTTAAGTGCATATCATCTTACCTATGCAAGAAAATGTGTATTCCATTGTTTAAAAATTATAAAAGGTTGTATTTTTAATGTGATGAGAAATATTTGGGTGGTATATATAAGAATTGTATCGGTTCAGTAATTCGGTTAATGAGTCGAGCAGCTGGCAAAGATGTGGATTAATTGCGTTGACAGACCATCTAACACTTCAGCAAAAATAATATCCTTAATAAGAAACCACAGATAGTATGCTTTAAATTTTAAGTCAAGATAAATTATGTACAAGATAATCTCCCACATTCGGCAGCCGATCTCTCTACAATTATCCAAAAGCCAAATTTAACTCAAGTTTTAAACTGCTCTACCTTCTGCTCTGAAGTATGTCTGAAAGGGCTCCCCAGGAATGCACCTAAAATCCTTCCCTCCCAATGGGTTGTTCTTACTCTGTACACAATATAAAATGATTTAAAAAGGTTGAATGTTGAAAGATTCATAGTTGTAGAGTGATAATTTAACGTCTTAGCATTACACAAAATTCTGGCACAAGGGCAAATAAAAAAAAAAGTAGAAGATGCCAAAAATTTTTTAAGTGAAGAATTCTAGAAAAAGAAAAAATCATGGGTCTACCCCATCAAATCTTTCCTCATCTTAGTCATTTGATCCTTTAAGGATTTCTTCAGTTGGAGTATCATACCTCTGATCGTTGAATGGATTGTGATGTCCTTCTCCTCAAGTCCATCAACCTTTGAGCCAATATCATCTATCTGAGCCTCCATGCCATTCATCGTCTCCTCTACCCGAGCAAGGCACGAATTAAAGTCGTGCATGATCTCCTTGGACCTCCTATGTGGTTTGGATGCAGCTAAATCTCGTTGCTCCTGATGACCTTGCCCTTGTTTAGATAATTTCACATTAGTGACTTCGGACTCCATTATGTGTCATTTAACGCTCTTTGTTATATATTTGAACCGAGTCTCTGATACCAACTGTCACAGACTAACTTATATAAAATCACATGTGGGGCTTTAATGCTCTTTCTTAGCACTAAAGCAGCCTAACCCACGCAACGGGAAAACTTGTTAGCACAAAACACTTTAGGAAGAAAAGTAAGGAGAAGTATTGGAGAAAGGAACACTTCACTAAGAGAGAAATATTACAACACTTGAATGCTTGGAAGCTTTGAAGGTTTTTTTGAATGGTCACAAATGAGAGGAGGGACTCCTATTTATAGCCCCCTCCAAACTCAAAGGAAACTTATAGATTACATGAGAATAGCGTAGTTTCTAGAGAGTTCTCTATTATTCATATGTACATACATAGCCCTATAATTTTCTAGATTATTCTTCAGTTCTCTTTGGAGCCTTTCCTTCTCATATTTTCTAGAATTGGGTGGAATTCTCTAGAATCCCTTGAATTGTTCTCTACAATCTTGTCTTCTCTAAAATCTTTCATCATATGCTTGTTTTGCCAATTTTTAGAGGGTGACAGAGTGTGACATTAGGCTTTCAACCAAACAATCCAACATTTAAGTCATTGTATATATGGCGGGAGTGCATTTGCAATTTTTTTCACATGAATATCAATATATATATATATATATATATATATATATATATATCTGTGTGTGTGTGTGTGTGTCAATTGGTCGGGCAACTGCTTGTCAGTTGTAAGTCCCCTCCGGTTTAGGGTTTGATTCCCTTCATGGAGGGTGAGGTACTTGAATTTTTAGGTGCCTCGGGAATGGTCGGGGATCGTATGGTAGCCTCATACCATTCTTTAAGTAAATATATATATCTTTGAATGTATACTATTGCAAAAAGGATTTTGACGGCGTTTATTTAAAGACATTTTTAATTTTTTAACAACTGACCGAATATACTATTGCAAAAAGGATTTAAAGACACTTTTAGAATATATTATATATATATATAGAAAGCAGTTACCTTCATTTTAATGTGGTGAACAGTCATAGAAAATTCAAACTTTCCCAAACTTTTTTGCACAAACATGAAAATGTTTTCCTTATGCTTCAAAGACCGATTAGGTTCAATTGACGCAATACAAATTTTATTTGAAGACCGTCAGCCTTTGATTAGTCAATTGGTTACTTCACCTTCAGCCCATCGTTTATATAGCCTTACTTTATTTTAGAGCGTACATCAAAAATATGTTTGTGCTGATCTTAAGAATATCTCTGATCTATAGAAATCGAGTGCAACCAAGAGGCCCTGTTGAGAGAACATCATGAGACCCGCTGATTCGATTGAGTGAATCAGCCAGTCAATCTTATAAGGCCAAAACTGACCAAATAAGAGTAATACAAAAACTAATTAACTAATTATAGATAAATTTGTATTCAAATCAAAACAAATATAAGCTATAATATTCGGAACCCAAAAAAAAATCATATAAAATGCTCACACAAACTTCAAAGAGCCGAATGAGAGTTCCAATATAGATTTATGTTTTATGAGAAATGATTATGAAAACTGCCTGATTTAAAATAAAAGATAAATTAACTAAACATTGATATATTTATCTCCTGGTAATAATAAGCTAAGGTTTCATTTCAAACACCTGGAAGTTTTGTTCAATTGGAGATAATGCTGAAAGCCTGCAAAAAATTTCATTTGATGAAACACTAAGAGGAACAACTCCCCTTTTTTTTTTTTTTTTTTTGTTTTTTTGCAAGAATGAAAAATTTTTATCACCAGCTGTTTTACGGCTTTCAATTTCTATCGTACATCAATTTTTTTAAATTTTTAAAAAAATAAAAATAGGACCAACTGTTATAATCTTTTGCTGTTATGAACGGTAGAGATCGGACACCGTATACATTTGATGCCCATGTGCAATAATTTTTCTTTTAAGGACAACTTCTCATTTGAAATTTCAAAGCAGAAATAACGGCGACTAGTCTTAATCTACAGCCGATAAAACTAAGTTTCTAGAAATTCAAATCAAGCAAATTCTTAATTTTCTTCCCCCCATATATAAAAGAGACCCAACTCTCCCTCTCTTTGTATTCCATCGTTGACGTAAAAACCTAAATTTTAGAGAAAAATGGAGAAAAACTTTGTTCTTGCTCTCACCATTGTTCTTTGCTGCCACATTTCTCTCTCTTCCGCCATTGATGGAACTGCAACTTACTACACCTCGTCTCCCACACGTGAGCTCTAAGCCTCTTAACTAATTATTTTCCCTTAGTTTTCATAAAAACATATTTACATATTGTTTTAAAATATAATTACGAATTATATTCATACATATATTACATATGTATGTTTGTATTTATGTAGCAACTTCGTGTTTTGGGTATGATGATATGGGTACGATGATCGCTGCGGGGAGCGAAACGATATGGGGAAATGGTGGGGCGTGCGGAAGGCATTATAAGGTCACGTGTATTGGTGCACCCATTACAGAGATGACGAACCCATGCACGGGAGCAAGCGTCGTGGTTAAAATTGTTGATTATTGCCCTGCCTGTGAGGCCACTTTTGATCTCTCTCAAGAAGCTTTCTCTGTTATAGCGGATTTAAATGCCCGTAAAATTCAAATTGATTATGTTGAGTAAGTGAATAATTTTTTTTTATTTTTACTTTCATAACTTTCTATTCTTATTTAATTTTTATATTTCACTTTCTAAAAGTTGAAATGGTGACATGGTGGTATTTTTTATGGGTTCTGAAAGTTTTGGGGGATAAATGTATGAAGGTTTAGGTGTTAGATATACAAATACATAGGAATTGGGTGATATGTATATTTTAGTATGGTTTATAAAGCTTGGAGAAGTACAGAACATAATTTTTTAGGGAAAATATGTTTATAAATACCATACTCATTGGTCTGATTACTAAACATATGAAAGCAATTAAAATTGATATTGTACTTATTTTACAATCAATTCAATCACATGAAGGTTATTTAAATATAAATTTTAATCAAAATACCTTAAATTACTATTTTGTATATTTATTTACCGCATTCTGTCTTAGAAAATGAAATTAATATGCGGCTAAGAAAAATGTTTATGCATGTTTGCCTTCATGAATTTCAGGGTGTAGAGATGCATGGTTGGTGGCCGAGGAAGTTAATAGTGCTTTCTTATATCGAAGTTAAGTGTCGAAGATCACAGAAGAAATATCCGTTCGTTGATGCACAGAAATTAAGTAGCTGAATAATGTTGTTACTTCGATGGTGTCTGCATGAGCACAAATATCTCTCAAATAATAATTATATTTACATTTTTATTTTTCAATGCCGGTTTTTAATTTATAATGGATACTTATGTCAATTTTTTTCCTTGTGTATATATATATATATACTCTAACATCGCCCTTACAAAATTCTATAATAAAAATAGAATAAAGTGTTTTAGTTACAGAGTTTATAGGAGTGCTAAAATAATTTCATATTCTTTGAGTTGGTTTTGAAACAATTGGAGCTCAATTATAGAAGGACAATCGTTACATTTATAAATTATGGGATAAAAATAGCCCCTTGACTGAAAAAGCTTAAACATTGACTATCAAGCTAAATAAGTTCAAACATGGTTCTTGACAAATAAATTTTCAAGATCCGACACGAATCTCAAATCATGACACTATATCGATTCTTATTCTACTTGCATCTCATTTTAAGTAAGTCTCTTTTTCTTAAAACGCCGCTTTAGACGTGGAAGACCGGATATCTCATATAAAATAATATGCCTGAAATGAAATAATATAATAGAAAAGACTGAATTTGTTGTGCTCGGATCTCATGCTAAATATTGAGAAAATAAAATTGAAAGCATCACCGGACCTATTGTAAATGCGAGAGACTTATATATTCTCCACGTGAGATACTCGATCTTCTACGCCTAAAACTGTCTTATATATTGTAAATGAGAGAGACTTATAAATTGTAAATGAGAAAGAAAGAGAAAGTTTAGGTCATTAGGTGCCATATAAATAAATACATAAGTGTACAGTGGTACATATGTGTACATCAAAAATTTGAAGTTTTAGATTTAATAGGACATAACTGGATTCAACAACACTCATAATGTTACGTATAAAAAATGTATTGTACAAAATTCTTGAAGGAAAAAAAATAATCAAATGCTTATAATAATGAAGCAACCCATCTTAATCTATTAGTTGACTTCAATTAAGAAGTTTTAGATTTAAATTCTTTTATATGTAATATATATATATATATTTACGACTAAATTCACATAAAAACCGAGAAAAAAATATTATAATATTTAAAAAATATATATATTATGCGTGACCCTTGGACGGCTACATATGGCCGAAGTTGCCCCACGATAGAAGGCAGCTCGTCATCTTCATGTAATGCAGTAAACATTCGAAGAATATTCAAATTTTCCCAAAGTTTTTTCCACAAACATGCAAATGCTGTCCTTATGCTTGAAAGACCGACTAAGTTTCAATTGAGGCAATATACATGTTATGTGAAGACCGCTAGTCGTTGATTAGTCGGTCATTCGGGGACTTCACCTTCACCCCATCGTTTACATGTATTAATTGACGACTTGCTGCTAGTCAGTCTTCAACAGCGATTTGCACGTCATCTCTAGCAATAGACAGACATAAATTAGTATATACTTTAAATTAGAAAAGTTTGCATTAATACCATGCAATTCTTATTTGTTTACAATATAACATTTGAAATTTTTTAACACTTATCCTTTAGATAGTAAGGGTGTAAGTGAGTCAAGCCGACTCGTGAGCCAGCTCGGGCTTAGCTTGTTAGCTATATGAGCTGAATTCATAATCCATTTATCAAGCCTAGCTCAAACTAATATAAAATCTGCTCAAAATATATTAAATTTGATGATTTTATTCGTCAATTATTAAAAATTAATAATAGTTTGTATTTAATATTAAATGATTACTATTTTTTTATTTTAATTAACTATTATATTTGTCATTTTTTCTAATTACTTATTATATTTGTCATTTCATTATAAAACTATCTTAAATTAACATTATTTTCTCTCTTTTATACTAAACAAGCAGGCTTGTGAGCCGGCTCGAACACGTAGAATTATGCTTGAAATCCCACTCAAACTTGATAAAATTAATCGAGCTCAAGCTGAAGCCAAGTGTGGCTCAAGCACAACTCGACTCCTTTACACCCCTTTTAGATTGTGGTTGAAGGTGTACTTGCCCACCCATAGTTTGCAGCTTCAATCTCTCAAATTACATACATTATCATTTTAGGCTTATTTTTCCCAGAATAATAATAATAAATAGTTTGAAATTTGACATTTACATTTATACTCCTCTGGTGTCAATGTATAAGAACTGTGTGGTGTGTATGTAAATGTCCAAAATTGTAATTTTTTAAAAAGTTTCTAAAGAATCAAAACCCTGAGAGTAAAAGTTTTGAATTTCTCCCTCTAAAAATTCACCATAGCGATCCTATCCTCCCCTATTAAAGAAACCCAACTCTCCCTCTCTTTATATTCCATCGTTTATAGAAAAATAGCTATAGTTTAGAAGGAATAAAAAAAAATGGACAAACACTTTGTTCTCGCTCTCGCTATTGTTCTTTGCCACTTTGGAAAGTAGCTGTTGAGAAAGTAAAGGCGAAGAAAAATAAGAATTGACACAAATCCAGAAGAACACGGAGATTTACGAGGTTCGGCAAATATGTCTACATCCTCGGGAGCAAAGCAGTGATCTTCTTTACAATATTCAGAAAAGAGTATAAAATACAAGATTCAAAATCTCAAAGACTCAGAAACCCACCTAGAGTTACAAACATGACATATATATAACCCTATAGTACAATTTGTAATTATTTAAATTGCCCTTGTCCTAAACCGCGGGGTGTTGCCCCCGCACCCCAACCCACATAATGAAACTCTCCCGATTAGATAAATCCTTCCGCTATACTCCACTCGTGGGCTCCTCTCCGCTCCAGCATCAGTCTCATTTATGATATATGAGTCATACCTAACAAATGTCTATCATGGCGAATATTCAGCCCCTTAGAAGAAATACATATACCCAACAAATCTCTACCTTGGCGAACATCCAACCCTTTAGGAGAAATACAGATGTCATATATCTGCTTGACAAATCTCCACCTTGGCGAACATCCAACTCCTTAGGAGAAATACATATGTCTGACAAATCTCCACCTTGGCGAATTTCCAGCCCCTTAGGAGAAAATACATATGTCTCACAAATCTCCACCTTGACGAATATCCAGCCCATTTAGGAGAAAGACATATACCCAACAAATCTCCACTTGGTGAATATTCACCAAGTTAATGATAGAGTTTCAAATGAAATGGGTTGATGGCAGTTGCTTAATACACTCTAGTGGTTGGATTTCCATTCAAATGGATTTCAAATGGTTTCAAATGGGTTGATGGCAGTTGCTTAATACAATTATTCGTTAATATATCATGGAGTTTCTTCTGGACAAAAATGGGTTGAGCCCTTTTAAATAATCTCTTAATTAAGATTCTTTAATTAAGTTTCTCTTAATTAAGTTTTCAAGAAAAATGATTTTTCCTTAATTAAGTTTCCAAGAAAAAAAGAATTTCCCTTAATTAAGTTTCGAAGAAAAAAAGGAATTTTCCTTAATTAAGTTTCCAAGAAAAAAAGAATTTTCTTTAATTGAGTTTCCAAAGGAATTTCCCTTAATTAAATCTTCCTTAATTAAGCTTTCCTAGAAATCTTTTTTCCTTAAACTTCCAAGAAAAGCTCTGTCTCCGCTTTCGAGAAAAGCTCATTTTTCCTTCCAGAAAAGCTTCGTTTTTCTTCTCAGAAAGGCTCTGCATCTGCTTTCCAGAAAAGCTCATTTCCTGTTATGGCTCCCTTTCCTATTTTGGCTCCAGCGACTCACTCGAACATCTTCCCACGCAACTACTTCCTCCAGCGGGGAAACCACCTTCGCGAACTGTTCGTTGTCAAATTCGTTGAACTCGCGGGATTCGCAGAAACCACCACCGCAAACTGTTCCTCCGCGCCCGAACCCGCAAACGCCTTCTCCCGTGATTCGCGAACTGCTGCTCATGTCTGCTGCGATTCGCGAACTTCCGATCGCCTGCGAACTTTTGCGTAGTGTGAACTCCGACAACCCTATTGCACTGAACATCTCTGCGAGCGACTCTTCCTGCATTGAACTGCAGAACGCCCTCTGTTCCAATCTGAACTACTGTCGTGATTCGCCAATCGAACCCTCGCCAAACGTCGTCGAAGTCGAACTCCGAACTTTGCCTTCGACCTAGAGCCCGAATTGTTCAAACACTAGCTGAACTCCTCAGCCAAAATCTTCTTTATTCTTGCGCGGCCCAATTTTTTCTTCCTTGCCCTTAAAACTCGTTCGGATACTACTTTTTGAGAAATTAGGGCGAAGAAAAATAAGAATTGACACAACTCCAGAAGAACACACAGAGATTTACGAGTTTCGGCAAATATGCCTACATCCTTGGGAGCAAAGCGGCAACCTTCTTTTCATCATCAAAAAATAGTATAGAATACAAGATTCGGAATCTCAGAGACTCAGAGACTCACCTAGCGTTACAAACAAGACATATATATAACCCTATAGTACAATGTGTAATTATTTAAATTACTTTTGTACTAAACCGCTGGGTGTTGCCCCCGCACCCCAACCCACATAATGAAACTCTCCTTATTAGACAGATCATTCCGCTCCACTCCGCTTATGGGTTCCGCTCCAACATCAGTCTCATTTATGGTATATGAGTCATACCTAACATCTCTCTCTTCACCATTGATGGAACTGCAACTTAATACACTCTGCCTTACACCCGTGAGCTCTAAGCCTCTATAACTAATTATTTACCCTTATTTACATATAGTTTTAGATTATAATTATGAACTATATTTATACATATTATGTATGTATATATGTAGCATAATCATGTTACGGGAATGATGATATGGGTACGATGATTACTGCGGCGAGCGACACAATATATGAAAATGGTGCAGCTTGCGGACGAACTTATAGGGTGACGTATACACGTGCGACCAATCAAGGTGTTCCACAACCATGCACAGGAGCGGGCGTTGTGGTTCAAATTGTTGATTACTGTCCAGCTGGTTGTCAGGGCACCATTGATCTCTCTCAAGAAACTTTCTCGGCTATAACGGATTTAAATGCCGGCATAATTGAAATTGATTATGTCCAGTAAGTAAATATTTTTTCTAAAGATTTACATACATATACATAAATAAATAAAGAATCGGCCTCTTTTTTTAGAGA